AAAATGAGGGAGAGAGGGAGAGAGAGAGAGAGAGAGAGAGAGAGAGAGAGAGAGAGAGAGAGAGAGAGAGAGAGAGAGAGAGAAAGAGACCTTCAGGTTGATCCTGAAAGTCCCTTCAATAAAAGGAGTTCCACATCCCTATGGAGGAGACAAGGGCTGTCCCCAGGGCAGGGTAGACCAGAGCAAGAAGGGGGCTCCACTCTGAAGGGAGGAAGAGGAACATAACTACCTCATATCCACCCACTATGGCAGAGTCACCTTTAGGTCTGACAGTTGAGGCCACCAGGTCCTTAACACAATGTTTTAAGGACTCAGCTGTGGAAGAGTGTCCACTCCCAGCGATACACCCAAGAGCAGCCTGTCACTTCTGGATTGGGAGTAGACAGCAAATCCCTCTTACTGGAGGGTTAATATGTGGTTCCAGATGGTGGAGGGCACACTCAATGGGGGACCCACCCCCATTACCAGTCAATGAGTAGCGGCAATGTCACAGAGTTCCCAGGGTCCCTTGCTGCTTGGAGCTTCCTGATGGCTCGCCAGTAGCTGTCCAGCCCTCCTAACATGGTGCAGAGAGACCACACTTAACAAAAGTACCCCCCGGCTTCCTATGTTCCTAAGTGAGCTATAGTTTACCTACCCTGGAAGAAACTTTTTCCCTGGGAAGCCCAGCTGGAACCAGCCTGCTCTGGACCCCTAGCCCAGGCCTGTCTAGAGGCCGGAGCAGTGCTCTGGGGTATGAGGGCTGGGACCTGCACTACAATGTTTAAGGGTTGTGAGGTATGCTGTCAGTACAAAGGCTGACAAGATGCCCATGTTCGGCTCCACAGCAGCCACTCAACCTCGCTCTTTTCATTCTGGGTTGGCAGCGTGATGCTACTCAGTGCACCAGGGAGTCTGGCAGAGCCTGACTCACCTCCCCTTCCTCTAAGTCTGCTGGGTGATTCATGCCAAGTTTGCAGCTATTTTGGCCCTGCTGACATTCTGAGGCTACAGTTCCTCTGGCTTGTATGCCCTTACCATGTCAGTTCAGCCCCTGACAAGGCAGCTTCCCGAGCGGTGGACCTGGTTTGCTCTATTCACTGTCAGGCCACCTTTCCTGGTTTTCACCCCCCTACCTTACCTGCTCTGTCCCTCATACCTACTGGGCTCTCTCCATGTCCAGCTCAGTCCAGCCCAGTCCAGCCCAGGGGTTACTGGGCTCACTTTGCTTACTCTTGGGGGATGAGGTGGGCTCCTGGTATCAGAGCACTTCCCTTCTCCTTCACTCCCCACTAGGGCAAGAGGTGAGGCCGACCCTCCTGATGGATTACCTGCTGAATCTGTGGCTGCTCAGCGCTGATGTGCCGTTCTGCTGAGTTTCACCTCCTTGTCACACCTGCTGAAAGCAGATGCCCTGTTTCACTTTCTGCTATGATCTAGTCTGGGTGCTCCAGCCCTCTGGCGCCCTTCCTGATACATCTGTGGCCTACCCCAAGGGAGCTACTTCCTGTTCTGAGAGAAAAACTGTTCCCTCTCCAGTGCTGTGGCAGGTTTTATGACCTACTATTTATAAAGAATAATACACAAGGGACAGGGCTGGATTAAGTGGCATCTAATACTTCAGAGCCACTTGAGCCAGAGCAAGTTTCCTCAAATGTCTACATGAAGATGCCTCTGATGGGCTCTCCAAGAACAAAGGGGAGCAGGCCTGTCCTTTCTAGAGAGAAAGTAGGGGCCATGAGATCGTTTGTTGTGCAAGTCTGGTGATCCGAGGAGAAAAGGTGTCCTCTGACTTCTCCACAGAGGTTGTGGTACACTCCATGCCCCACAATATATTAAGGTGTTTCTGTAGTGCAGTGGTTATCACACTCGCCTCACATAATATTAAATAATTTTTAATGAGCGAGTGAAAGCATCTCCACAAAGGGTCAAGCTAACTAAGATCTTTCTTCTTTTCAGTGCTAGGGACCGAGCCGAAGGCCCCACACACATTAAGCCCATATGCTCCTTCCGGCAACTCCCCAGCCAGCTGCAGATATTTAAGGAGCAGTTTGTGCTCCTTTGTGCAGAGATATCCCCAAGCCACCCTTTAATTTGGGGCACACATTCGGAACTTTTTAGGGTGCCATTTTTCCTGGAATAGCTTAAACGGAAATGCTTTCCCTGTTAGAAATTTTGTGACCAATTTTAATTCTAGCTACTGTTTGGTAAAGACTGTATAGATGGGTGTATGGCTCCCCATAAACAGACACTTATTTTGTGTTAAAATGCCCCTGTCCTTGTTTTACAGCACTGTTTTACACACATGGTAGGAGTGATGCCAGCTTGTGTGATCAGGAATTTTGTGGGGCCCACTAGAATGGGCAACACTGGATTTGGGAAGGAAAGAAAGACAGCCGTATTCCTCCCTGTTGAGGCCTCCTTATAATCACCAGGCACATGTGGAAACCATTGCCTTTATTTACTGGGTCTCCACTGTGGGCTGCCAGCAAGCACTCACATGCTGCCCCGAGTTTCTGTCAGTTTCCTCCTGCGTGTGATCTGCTGGGGGGTGGAACACAGTGGCATTCATCAGGCCCCTAGCAACAGACTCAGCAAGACCTCTGGATGAGATCCATGGACAAAGTCCTCTGGAACTCTGTGGTTACCACAACAGCAGTAGGCGGCAAAGGAAGGTATCCAGGTGCAGCCAGCACCCAATGGCAAATGCCAGATTTTCTGCTACGAAGCACAGAAGCCTCTCAACTTCCATAGCCCATTACATGGGTTCCTGGTGGTTCTGCCTCAACCTGGGCCAGGCCAGAGAGGCCTTCTGGGCACCTGGAACAGCCTTCCTTTCTCCCCCATCTGGCTAAGGGACCAAGGGAACAGCTGGCCTCCCCAGGCACACACACAATGCTGCCATTTGCTTGTGCAAAGACACAGTGCCAACCAGGAGGAAGGCTCCCCACAGTGGGACACAGGTTGCCATGAACTGGCCTTGATGTAAATTTCTGATTCCACAGTACCTTCCAGAATATTCCAGCTTTGTTCCCAGAAGAAACTCATGGAGGGTTTACACAGTGCAGGAACACATAGCCAGGAAGCCTAGGCGTTGGACTTGACTGGACTGCTGTCAGGAGATCTTTACAGCAGGCCCAAGTGATGACAAGGGCATCTTCTTGGGGGACCAGGCCCTCTGTGGTCTGCACGTTCCTCTGCTACCTTTTCTAGAGATGTCTCATGGCCTCTAAGTTACTTTCCAATTCTGTGTGAGGGGCTCCATGGACAGCAATATAAGAGAAGTTTCTCCTAGACCTACAAATGAGGTCTATGGGGGGTGCAACCCCTGCTCTGAGCCCACTGCCAATCCACTGGCATTCCTGGTGGCTGATATGTATGTCATATCATATGGGTGGGCTACAACATTCACTGGTTCCCTCACAACTCACAGGAAATTTATAGGTGCACATTTGGTGTCTGTGCAGGAAGCATGATTTTATCTTCAACTTTCCCTTAATCCATCACTATTTACGAAGTGACAGGTATGAGCCAAATGCTGAAGACACAAAACACAGCAAAGCCCTACTCTGAGGGGTCATGACCAGGAGGGGAGATGGACATACATATTCACTGAGGGTCAGAGCAGATACAGAAAAAACCTGGGAAAAGACCCCAGACTCAAACAACCCATGTCACATGCTTCCAGTGTCAGTGACAGAATCAGTAAAAAGAAAAAAGACAAAGAAACCGGATGTAACCACCCCGACAACCAGGCTTCCGGCATGGTGCCGAAGGGGCTGAATGTGTCGCCCCAGTCCCACGTTCTGCACTTGTGTGAGGAGCTCATCTGTGGCTAGGTGCCGACAAGCTGTGCTCGAGGTGACCAGGACAGATGTGAGGTTGAAATAGTTGATCCTTGTTATACCAGCATCTCTGCAAATGTGTGTTAGGGCAGAACCACACTGGAATCTCTTTGGGAACTCCACAGCTGAGTCTGCGTGGGCTGCCTTCCCTCAGGCATGTTCCTACTCACAAGAGATGTGGCCAGGCCCAGGACAGTGTGCAGACAGGACCATGGAGACACACAAAGGGGACCACTGACTGCAGTGGCTCAGGGAGGAGTGGGGAGGCAGAACTCCATGAGGCAGGGGCAGGGGGTTAGTACAGAGAGGGCCAGGGCCTGGGCACACTATGCTCATCCCCATGCACAGGAAACTTGGATTTCCTCCCAGGGGTAACTGCGAAGTAATCAGCTGCCATTCAGTAGGAGAAAGGCCTCAGATTAGCACTACCTATGCAGGGCTTAGTTCCCACTTTAGAAGCAACAGTGTGGGGAGCCCTGGGGACTGGGCATCCTGAGGTGGCTGTAGCCAGCCTTCAGGCAGGAGAAAGGAGAGAATCTGAGCCATATTTAGGAGGCAGAATTAAAACCAGAGAAGGGATGACCACGGAAGTTCCAGTGGATGACAGGAGACAGAAATGCTCCCAGCCATATGGGGAAAGGCCAGTTCAGTCTAGGGCTTTGGACAGACAAATGGACAAAGCCTACAGTGGAAGAGAGAATGAGTCGCTGCTTAGATAAGGTAAGAGATCTGCAGGGACAGGATCACATCAACTGCTAAAGCTGGGGAACTTGAACTGCACACAGTTCTCTGTGCAGTAAACAATGTTTCCTATGTAGGCAGCACAGCTCACTAAGCCAGTTGCACATACAGTGAGGTTCAAGCTCAGGCCTTTATGTTAACTTGGCTGGCCAAGGAATGCTTGGGTATCTTGCTAAGCAGTATATGTGGGTGTGTTTGTGGGAGTGCTTGGGAGATCACACTTGAAGACAGTGGGGACATCCATCTGCAGAGGGCTGAGGGGTTGGGTTGGGATGTCTGTTCATACCCTCAGGGGTCTCGAGCCTGCAAATCATCACTGGCTTTCTTGGTCTCCAGCTTGTAGATGGCAGACCGTGGGGCTTCTCAGCTTCCATAGTTAGGAGCAGACTGGTGGCTGAATATTTCTGAGTCAGGACTGTTGGCACCTGATAGAGGGAGCCTTCATGACTAGCCCCTGATAAAGCCTCGAGCTGTCACAGTTCATTGCTGGAGGACCAGGGACAGGGCTCTAAGACTTGTGCCTAGTTTCCTGTAGACTCTGCCTGAAGTACTTTTTCTTTTGTCTTTTTTTTTTTTTCCTTGAGATGGGGTCTTAGTACGTAGCCCAGGTTGGTCTCACAATTTCCCTGACTCAGCCCTCTGAGTGTGGGGATTATAGGCATGTACCACCACACCTGACTCAGCCCCTTCTGTCAATTTATCCTTCTAGTTCAACAAGCCACTGTCTCAAGCAGGGGATGCTTTGTCCTCCTACTGACTCAATGAACAGGAAGTTCTTTCAGGAACATGAGGGATAAACTTGCTGAGTCCAAGTCACTGGTCCCCAGATTCTAAACGGCATACAGTTGTTATCTTATAGCACTAGATTTCAAGCATCTTTAAGGCAGTAGAATTCCAACATATACAATAAAACTTACAAATGATGCCACTGGCACTTACTAGTTTATTTCTCAGCTTGGTACACAGCATCAGCACAGAACCCTGTGCTTGCCCTGGTACCCTACACCCAACTTAGTGCCTGCACTTAGTGGGACGCCTTCAACGAGATTCCACAAGTAGAATCACATCAGTTCAGACGTGTGAAATCGACCAAATATGACACCCAACAATGAGAACCGCAGAGTCAGTCAGATGACCTAAAAATCCCACACTTGCCATCAGAGGAACCCTGTGGAGGCAGTTGAAACTGGAAACCCAACACAGCTTCTGGAAGGTTCTACCTGGAAAGCAGCAGAATCTGGGGAACACCTTCCTTACCGGCTCGTTGTCTGGAAGCAGGAGTGTAAGCCAACTAGGAAGGGGTTGCTGGACGCCTGCTCAAACACATGCTTCTCCGTCTGCACCCAGTCGATATCCTGAAAGACAGTAGGTAGCACTAAGCACTTCTCAGGGGCCTCCTGGAAAAGGCAGAGCCGAGACAGAAAAGCCTTTCTTCTCTGCTTTTGAGAGAGGGAAACAAAGCACCTATTAAGCACATCAGGGCTGGAAATGTCTCAGCAGTTAAGAGCACTGGCTGCTCTTGCAGAGGACCCAGGTTCAATTCCCAGCACCCACACGGCGCCTACGAACCGTCCCTTAACTCCAGTTCTGGGGGAATCTGAAGCTCTCCTCTGACCTCTGCGGCACTGCATGACATGGGTGCACCCACATACATGTAGGCAACGCACATATAAAATAATATTTTTAAGTTTTTTTTTTTTTTTTTTTGAAAAAGGGTCACCCTGTAGCCCCAGCTGTCCTGGAACTCACTATGTATACCAGTTTGGCAGTAAACTCACCAACAGAGATCCGCCTGCCTCTGCTTCCCAAGTGCTGGGATTAAAGGTGTGCGCCACCATGCCCGGCTAAAAAAACTTTTTTAAAAAAGAAACATGCCATGGTCGGGTGTGGTAATTGAACACTGAGGAGAAAGAGGCAGGAGGCCTAGAGCAAGTTCTGTGCCAACTTGGGTACACAGTCTGCAGTCTGGGTTAATGTGACCTTGTCTCAAAGAATCAAAAATCAAAAGAAGACAAAACCCATCACCACCACTATCACCATCCACCCCACAACCCTTATTTTGACACCTTCTGGTCATCACTACCATCACCCATCCACCCCACCTCCACCAGCACTGCTGTCATTATCACCCCATCTCCAGTGTCATCACCCCCACACCCCATCCCCTGTCCCAAGCCGTCCTGTTGGCCTTGTCTCTGCACACACTGCCTCCTTGTACCCTCTGAGAATTCTTAGAAGGT